TATATATATATATATATATATATATATATATATATAGAATCATTAATAAATAATCATTTCGTTAAGATATTTGAGTACTCACATCATCCATTTCTTTTTAATAATGTTAGAAGCAAGAAAACGCATGCTAAAAATTCTTGTCAAGATATATCCATAAAATGACACTTGCGATCAATTAAGAGCACACGATTAAACACACCTTAATATATTTAGTGTACTTTCCTTACACTCTAATCAATAAATAATCGTAAAATTAATATGACAGAATAATAAGAAAATTAGATTAAAAAAGAAAATTGTCAAGTTAATTTTATGCTTATTTATTAATCGTTAGAAAGTAAAAAAATGTTCGGGATATTTTTGAAGTCATTTCAAAAGAGTGAGTCTAATGTAATATTTGAGATTTTCGCGGTGTTCATGAATATTAAATTTGGTTTCCGGGTTTGAACCGCGTAGATTTTTCTTTGTCTGATTCCGACGTTTCACGAACATTTCAGTCCGCTTCATCAGGCAAGAACAATCCGATGCTAGAGAGTCTAATGTATCAGAATGAAATATTCCCTGAATATTTCTCAGATATACCTTACAGATAGTTTAGAAAATAATTATTACTTGAATTAATACTATATTAATCAAGAAGTTTTCTTCAGCATAGAATTTATCTTGCTGAGGAAGCTTAGTAAATTATTTAATAATAGATTTCAGTTCCTAAAATATAAACACACCGAATATGAAGCGGAGGAATAATAAATTACGGCAGATTGTCGATATTACAAAATTCTATGCAGTAAATTTTACTATAAAATTCTCTCCATGTATAAAGGCCTTCTGCAAGATGACAAGGAAGATACAAAACGACAGATTGTAATTATTAAACGTGTGGCTAATTTATACAGATTGTGCACCTGATAAAAAATGCACGAAGCCGTCCGCATACCGCGGCTATCGGCGACGGCGGTAACGACGTGTCAATGATACAAGAGGCGCACGTGGGATTCGGGATATTGGGAAAAGAAGGTCGTCAGGCTTCCATGTCGGCTGACTTCGCCTTCTCGAAATTTATGTATCTGAAAAAGGCGTTGCTGGTGCACGGTCACTGGTACTACCAGCGCATCAGCATCTTTTCGCAATATTTCTTTTATAAAAACTTGATCTTCATGACGCCGCAAGTATTATATGGCCTGCATAATGGATTCTCTACGCAAGTAAGAATATCATCTTATGAAAAAAAAAAGAAAAATGTGCTAGTAGTTATATTTTCGGAAGGAACCTTCAGGTTTTTGTGTCTTTTCATTGTAGGAACTTTATGACAGTATGTTCTTGATGTTGTTCAACATGATATTCACGACGCTTCCAATACTACTGTATGGATTATTCGAGCAAAACTACAGTGCGGAAAAACTCATACAACATCCGTACCTGTACAAACTAAATCGAAATAATTATTTAATGTCGAGACAACAGTTCATGATATGGATGCTACTAAGTGCGTAATTGTAGAAAGATCAATGAGTATTTATAAATACAGCCAAATGTAAATGATAAAAAGAAACATTAACGACTGTGATTTATTGTCGCCGTTATTCTTTTTAGGCATATGGCATACGTGTGTGATATATTTTGTAGTATACTCTCTCACGCTCACCAATTCCGCATATTTATATGACAACACAACGGTTGGACAATGGACTTTTAGCACTAATATTTTTCATCTAGTCGTTCTAATAGCGAATGTTCAGGTGTGTATTAACGTCATCGCCGTGAGAATATCGGCGAGTAGCTTAACAATCTTATACAACGATAATATGATTTCAGATATTGCTACGTAGTTCCTACTGGACGTCGTGGTTTGTTCTAAGCGTAGTGCTGTCCCAATTAACATTCTTCTTATTCACGTTTAGTTACTCGTTGGTAAAAAAGTAAGTGAGCATTTTACAATGTCGAGAATTATCTATGATAAATTATAATTATCCTGATGGAAAAAATTTGCTGAAAATACAAAAAAATCGTCTAAAAGAGAAATTAAAGTTATTAAAAAGTCACTGAAAACATTTTATGATGAATCATGATTTTCATTATAAATTGTTATAAAAAGTATGATGAAACAATGAATTTTAAATAAATATTGATGAAAAGTAATGAAAATATTTTGAAATATTTGATATTATAAAATCTACTAAATTCCAATGAAAAATGAATAAATTGTATTGAAACTTTGCTGAAATATTGATGGAAAAAATTCGTGAAAACATTTCTCAATAATTTTCAAAATTTTGCTGAATTACGCTGATGAAACAATAATAATAATACATAATTAATTGTAAATAAGTACTTTATGCACTTCATTTATTGTTCAATAAAAAACTTCGTGAAAAAATTTTGAATAAATAACGAAATCGTGCTGAATTTCACTGACAATTAATGTCTCTGTAGTCGCCGTGCGCTCAGGATCGCGCCAGAGATGTCGCTTCCGAACGGCATCTCTGAGCGTTATTTAGGAAGAGGAGAGTATCGTGAGCGTGGAGCGTCAGGTAGCTCAGTGGTTTAGAGCAGTCGCCCGGCAAGCGAAAGACCCGGGTTTTCGAGTCCCGACCTAGCAGGACCGCGCTCTCGATATTTTTCTCTTTCTGGAACGAAAAAGATACGCAGATCTCGAACGCACGGCGTCCCGCCGCCACCTAGTATGCTCTCCTCCTTCTCGATATGACTCATTTAATTCCTTCGTTTAATTTAGGATATATAAAAAAGCTACCAAGAAACTATAAAAGTAATTTACGTACGTCGCGACCCTTAGTCTTTTTTTCGCTTCCGCCGCGCGTTTATCCTTCTTCATTCGGATCGACCATTTTATATTGACCTTTCACACCGGCAGGCCTGCTGGCGCGCTTCTGCGTGAAATATTTTTTTGAGACGACGTACGTAAATTAATTGTCAGTGAAATTAAATTAGCCAATTAAAATTTAATTTTTTTTATTCTTCTATATACAAGAATATGAAAACTCTCTCTCATTGAAATATCAATGAAAATTATTGAAATATATGGGAATCTGATTTCTTCACTATGTTTCAACATAAATTCATACGATTGTTAATTTGCATCTAATATTGCATTTAGAGCAATATTGCATCTAGAGCAATCGTTAATTAGCATATGTAATATTTGCATGTAGATTAAAAGAAATGAAAGAAGGATGTGTAAAAAGAGCCATTTTTAGTCCAGTTCCGGAACTTTTCTTAACCATTGGAAACTGTTTTTGGGAAACTATTTTTTAGAAACTGGAAAAAATAATTATTTATCCACCAGGTCTGGGGAAAGTTATAAAAATGGCGATTTATTATTAACTGTTGACATAGTCATATGAAATAATATTTTCGAAGCTTTGTCTTCTCAATATATTTATGTAAAATACTATCAATTGAATATTTGTGATGGAAAGTGTGCAGAAAATGTAGAGGGAGAGGAAGAAGTTTGTTATTTTATTAATATATTATATAAGATTTAGAAAAAGTGTCGAAGTTTCATGATATTTCGAAGAATACACGTTTTCGAAAAAAAAGGTTCATACAAAAATTATAGGATTTTAACTGGCGCTTTACGTAGTTGTATTAATATTACCTTGAATAATATTGTCAAAGTCATGTGAAAGTCACTTTTCACTAAAGGGAAACCTGAGTTTTCATTATATATTCCTATAGCCTTCCTTGAGACTCTTCCACAGCACTTCTTCTTTTTCACGTATCATTGCTGGACGCCAGCAATCACAATGGCTCTATTATCCTCCGCCACGCGGGAGAATTCCTCTATTTTTCAGATTTAAAAAGAATCCCATAAATTCACGGACTATCGTCTAATTAGTTTTATAAGTCACATGCTAAAAACATATGCATATTCTTCGTATTATTCTGGATATCTGTATACGAGCAAAATGTGAGATGGATTTGGGTGACTCACAGTTCAGCTTCAGGAGCGTTTTCGGCATGCTCATCGGCTTTAGATCACGTTTCGGCACGTTCTCTTAGAAAAGTGTCGCAACCATCGGCAGAATGTATTTCTATGCTTTGCGGACTGCGAGGTGACATTTAATCGCGTGCGCCATACTAGACTCATTGAACTTTTACTTGAAGCAGAAGTAGATGAAAAGAATGTCCGAATAATAAAAAACTTATAACAGAAAGTCGACATACTAATACAACTACGTAAAGCGCCAGTTAAAATCCTATAATTTTTATATGAACTTTTTTTCGAAAATGCGTATTCTTCGAAATATCATGAAACTTCAACACTTTTTCTAAATCTTATATAATATATTAATAAAATAACAAACTTCTTCCTCTCCTTCTACATTTTATGCACACTTTCTATCATATAATTGATAGTATTTTACATAAACATATTGAGAAGACAAAGCTTCGAAAATATAATTTCATATGACTATATCAACAGTTAATAATAAATCGCCATTTTTATAACTTTCCCCAGACCTAGTGGATAAATAATTATTTTTTCTAAAACATCCCAAAAACAGTTTCCAATGGTTAAAAAAAATTCCGGAACTGGACTAAAAATGGCCCTTTTTACACATCCTCCTTTCATATTATTTATAAAGATAGTCTTTTTAATTAGATGTATGGGTGTCTTTAAAAAAATAATTACAAATTTAAAGAAGTACCACATAATTATTTTAGTGAAAATATCCATATTTATTGTAATAGAAGTACATTACACATATAAACATAAATATATATGTATATATATAAATTTTAACCTTTAATCTCTCAAATATTTATATGGAACAGTGCTAACATAATAATGATAAACATGCTGAATAATATTTTTCTTGATTTTAAATTTTAATGATTTTCTACTGAATTTTATTGAAACTTACTGAAATTGACTAAAATTTCGCTGATTTTCAATGAATATTGCTAAAATCATAATAAAAGTGGGTCAATTGATAAAGTTTTTCAGCAAAATTTCAGCACATTCATTATGTTTTCAGCAAATTTCATTATATTTTCAGCAAAATTTTTCCATCGAAGTAGTTGAGATAGTAAATTTTATCTACAAACGCGTAAGCGAAATATAAGCAATTATCAAATCTCTCTCTCTCTCTCTCTCTCTCTCTCTCTCTC